AACATTTTTATTTTGGTGTTTCATGATTTGGCCTCTGGTTATATACCAAAAAAAAATCCAACAACATGAATAAATTACCCTAACCATAAGAAACTGTTACAGAATTACTTTCTTCTTCAAGGGGAAAAGAAACATAAAAGAAATGAATCAAGAATGTTCTTGTTGTTTATGGATGGAGACAACAACTGAGGAAGAAGAGCAAAGTGACTTGTCTCAATTCGTTCAGTCTTCTTGTTTGGTCTGAATCTGATGATCGTCATAGCCAAAAGCAAGCTCGAAGATCTTTTCATAGTTATCAACAAAGTGAACATCAAGCCCTTCTTTCACATTCTCTGCCAGCTCATCAAAGTCTCTCCGGTTTGCCTCCGGAAATATTATCGTTTTCACCTGACTCCGTCTCGCCGCTATGGTCTTCTCCTTCACCTGAAAGATTGAGTGTAAGAAACTTGCAGCAAATTATATAAAATGTCGATAAAAAAGCATTCATAGAGTGAGAGAAGTCCGGAGTTGTTGACTTACCCCACCAATAGGTAGAATTCTACCCGTTAGGGTGACTTCTCCCGTCATTGCAAGATCCTTCCTAACAGGTTTCTTCATGGCAAGTGATAGTAATGATGTGATCATGGTACAGCCTGCGCTTGGACCATCCTTGGGTGTGGCTCCTGCAGGAACATGGAGGTGAAGCTTGGAGTTTGCAAAGAACGTGTTCTCTGCTTCTTTATCCAGCAAGATCTTTCTTGCGACTGTGTGAGCGATTTGTGCGCTTTCCTTCATCACATCACCAAGCTGTCCCGTTATATTCAGGCCACCTTTACCTTCCCCATCCTCCACGACAGTTGTCTCTATGTACAACGTTGAACCACCCATTGATGTCCAAGCTAGACCCATCACAACTCCTACAGGTGTCTGCTCATAGATCTTCTCCGCATGGAATACCGGTTTCCCTACATAATCTGCAAGGTTTGATTCGTTTATCATAACCTTTTCAACCGTTACCTTCTCGATTTGAGCCTGTTCCTTTGATTCTTCAGCAGAGGTAACAGGGTTTTCTTGGGCAATAGATTTCTCTGGGGACTCCACATCGAGTTTGGTCACAATTTCAGCTTCTTCAGGATCAATTACAACTGCAGGCTCTTCGGCAACTGCTCCTTCGCGCACTAATTTAAGGGCAATCTGCAAAAGGAAACAAATGATGTTAGATTTTGAGGGCTTGAGTAAACAATACAAAGTCTTATAGCAAACTTACCTTCCGGTAAATCTTCTCGATCTGTTTCTGGAGATTCCTAACACCTGCTTCTCTACAGTAATTTTCTATCAAGGAAAGCAGAGCTGCATCACTCACCTCAACCTGCATATGTACAAACAAATTGAGCAAATCCCACAAGAAACTATGTGATTCCATGACAATTACACGAATTCTCCCCAAAGTTAAAACCAGAGACAATTCGAGAATATGATGAGAGTGAGACCTGTTCAGGCTTGATGCCACAATCTCCGCGTGCGGTTTTCTCCAAATAGTCTCTTGCGATATGCACTTTCTCATCAGTGATATACCCAGCAATAGAAATCACCTCCATTCTGTCTAGCAGAGGATTCGGAATCATGTCTATCACATTTGCTGTGCACACAAATAAAACCTGTAGGGAAATGGATCAGTAGTTAAATTCAAACAGCCTAGAATTACATGAAACAAAATGGTATCCATATCCATCAATTGGTGGATCAGAACACCACAAAGAAAAGAAAGAAAATTTGGTCATTGATCACATCAGTAACCTTTGACAGGTCAATAGTGACATCGAGATAGTGGTCCAGAAAATTTGCATTTTGCTCTGGATCCAGAAGCTCCAACAACGCACTGGCTGGGTCACCCGCATGGCCTCTCCCAAGCTGCCAGGGAACAATAAACAATTTTATTAGAGTACTTTGGTAAGAACTGGAGGTCAATAGTTTTGCCTTAATAAACTAAATAAGCTGCTAAGATATTACCTTATCAATCTCGTCGATCAGAACTAGCGGATTTGCTGTCCCCACACTCTTTAGGCACTGCACCATCTTTCCTGGCATGGCACCAACATATGTTCGACGATGACCCTATATAACATGGTTTACAAGAATGGATTATTGTTTCTACAACAATACAATGGTAAATATTTGACTACGATTTGAAAGTACAGTAACAACTTGTTATACCTTGATCTCAGCAACATCAGCTAACCCTCCAACAGAGAACCGGAAAAACTTACGATTAAGAGCACGTGCAATTGAACGACCAATACTAGTTTTACCTACTCCAGGAGGTCCGGATAGGCAGATGATTTTTCCTGGTGACACATTTACTAAAATTTCAGCTGTGAAGCTCATAAACCAGGACAGTTTCTTTTTCATCATTCAAGATCAAATCAGATAGGGACCAAAACTACTGTGTAAGTATCAAACCTTGTGAAGTGCCTCTAAGTCTTCCAACAGCAATAAATTCTAGGATTCTTTCCTTAACATCAGATAAGCCATAATGATCCTCGTCAAGAATATGTTGTGCCCGCACAACATCAAAATTTTCATCACTGCACATTTAATAAAATAGATTTCTTGATCAGTGAACACAAAGCAAATACAAATGGTACCATGGCATGATCATGAATGCTCACCCTTCTTTATCAGTCTCCCATATCAAAATACCTACTGCTTTACTCAAACAAATAAATATAAAATAGAACAAGAGTATAATACCTGTAATTTCCCCAAGGCAATACGGTCAACCAATCAAGGTAGTTACGGGTCACGTTAAACTCGCTTGAACTGGCCTCTAACAGCTGGAGTTTTGTAAGCTCTTCTTCTATAACTTGTAATACATGTGCGGGAATTTTTTCCTTGTTGGGCTCAATCCTTTCCTTAAATTTTCCTGCAGCAAAGAACAGACAATAAAATTCACTTTTCTTACAATTAACAGTACGCGGCTCTCCGAAGTCACAGCAAAGACACTGACGCCTCATAAATGCATGGTTATTCATGAGGCAGTGAAATTATAATCTCTGACGTGGATATAAGATGACTAATCGAAATGAAGATACTCTAAGTTAGTACTGACCAGAAAGTGCAGATTTGTCATCTGTCTCTACACCAAGCTCCTGCATTGGATCACTTAAACGAGTCAACAAAATATGCTATATACCACACAGACTTGGTATGTGGATGAAAATAGCAAACATAATTTGTGAGGCAGGCTGTAAATACCTTCTTTATAGCCTTGAGCTGCTCATTTAGCAAGTAACGGCGTTGCTCACCGCTAATTTTTTCTTCAATTGCTTTTGCTATGGTTTCCTGTAGAAGGCTCAAAAGATAAGAATATATTCTCTTTCTAGCAGTTACCTAATAAGTAGCCCCTTAGTTGGAAAGACACAGGAAAATAAGGGAACAAAGTACCTGAATCTTGCTAATTTCCATTTCTTTTTTCATCAATTCCAGCGTCAACCGCAGACGTTTGTGAACCTGGGTCGATAAAAACAGAGAAGATATATTGACCAAGCATGGAATAACACAGTATTACAGTAAAGGTGAAACTACTTACATCCAGTTCTTCAAGAACCTCTTGAGCTTGATGCCTATTTGCACCACATATCGCCGCTCCAAAATCGGCTAATCGTGGATAAGTGAAATCACCTATATGCTACACAAGTTTGAAAGACATCTACTTAGATACTTGTATCCTGAGACATTTTTACCTGCACAGGTGAAAATTATGAAGAGAACATGCCTGGGTGTATGTCTGAACATGATCTCTCCATAGTGAACTTGTCTTTAGTACATCCCTAAGCGTTGAAATAACTTCAAAGGATGTTGCCTTGATGACATCATCGTCCATGTCAAATGGCTTATCCTGCACAGAGAGGAAGAAAAAAAGGGTTTCTGACTTCAGAATTTTAAAAATGAAAAAGGAAAATCAAACAAAATCTTATATCACAAGAGGAAAAGCAAAGAAGCAGAAATGTACCTTAATATGATCGACTTTGACAGTAAGTGGTTCTTCACTCACCTGTATAAATTACATAAGTTTCTCCCTTAAAGAAAAGTGATTTGATAAACCAAAGAGCACATGTGAAGGTATAATCGCCACACTTTTGAACTTTAAATTCTTCCGAAATAGAAAATTCTACAAATTATGAACCCTGTTACTCTTCTGACTTACCATCTCTGTTATGCGAAGTCGCCTGTGACCAACAAGGATAACTTGGTCCCCTTGGATACTTGAAATCTGGAAAATCACCATGGAAAATCGTGATGCTAGTCATGTCTATTGATTTGATCACACAGACACCAAAAAA